ATCAATATCAGTCAAAATAGAAAAATGGGTTCCCATGATGAACGTTTACGGAACCCAACATTAGTTATCGTGGTTTCCCATTGGGTAATCCGACGGAACCGAAAAACGGTTACCATGAATTTCTGAAATCCTCAGGCCTGGTCCTGAATTATTTAAATTTTTGCAGCATTTGTTTATAATTGTACGTATATGTTGTTTGTGGTAATATCATATGCAATTGAATAAGTAGACCATTTCGGAATTTGAAATTTGGGACTCTCTCAATGCATAATGGGACTCATACTTTTCTGATCAGTGAGTCCCTGGGACTCGCTGCAGGTAAACTGTAAAATGATCACTGAGAGATTACCGCTTTTTCTGCAGTCAGTGATTGACTTCTATGCAAAGTCATTTCTCAACTTGTGTTCCGTGCCATGTCATGCCTGTTGAGTGTTGATTTATTCATAATATTTATTTATATTCATATTAAGAAACTACTGCACTAAAACATTAATTCATAAATGTATATCATATGATTTTATTTCTTTTTCCCAGTATAAATAACACGTACCCTGACTGTTCTACTCTTTGAATAAAATCACTTCATTCAAGCGTTAGGGAGTGCAAAGGGTTCTGATGGAGGGGTGTTGCAAATCATGAGGACAGTCCTTGGTCCTTGGCCTTGGCCTCGGAAGCAAGTCCTTGGTCCTTGGCCTTGGCCTCGGAAAATTTTTCAAGTCCTTGGCCTTGGCCTTGCCTCGGAAAATTTTCCAAGTCCTTGGCCTTGGCCTTGGCCTCGGAGGCAAGTCCTTGGCCTTGGCCTTGGCCTCGGGTTGCCGGTCCTTGGACACATCCCTGTACAAAAGAGCATAATAGTATATATCAAGTTGGCAAAATGGTATTGGTGTCATATAAGAGCATTTCTACAAGTACAGAGTAAAATATCAGCACTGATATCGATACTGGTATCAGTATTGACGCAGCCCTACAGTTCAGTCTGACCTGAAATGACAAAGACTATATTGAGTTCTTTCGGGCGATTCATTTCTGTGTAATCCTAATAAAATGTGATACGTTTCAATGATGATTTCATCTCAGGTGTCTTTATACTCTATTATTCAAGCATTGACGATATAGGTGAATATTTAACAGTTGGCGCGTTGGGGCTTCTTGATGACGTTCGAAAAAATGTTTGCCGCACTGTAAAAAGATCAAGGATGTTTATTGACCAATAAATAAATATTTTTTAAACTAAAAATGATTATTTTAACACATTTATGTCAGGAATGTGTCCTGGCTCTATCAAGAAGTATCTTAAATAATACCTGGCAGACAAACTCAACTTGGCTACAAGGTCTTTAAAAATGAGAGAGAGAGAGAGAGAGAGAGAGAGAGAGAGAGAGAGAGAGAGAGAGAGAGAAACCTGAGGACAGTGGTGTTGAATCGTCTCTGGGTACTCTGCCAACCTAAATTGAGGAACAAGTGCAAAGTCAACTCATCGATGAAACTCAACCGTTCTCCATGTTTTGTATAATTTAGGACGCATATATTTATCCACAAAAATTTGTTCAACATGTTATCGATTTATTCAATTTGTAAGTTCCATAGTTCCATTCCAATAATGTAAACTGGCTTGAAAAACTACCCAATATTTTATTTGTTTTTAAATGATCTCTTTACTGTGTGCACATGTCATTTGAAAAGAAATGTAAACACTTTGCAAGAGTCTAAAATACACAGTCATTTAAAAAAAAAAAAAAAATCATCCCATTGGGCTTTGAAGTGATTCATTAAGGTATTTATGTCTGTTCGTGAACGCTCCCCCCTACACATACATACACGCACACACACTAGGGACTTAGCAAAGTTTGTTTTACAGCAGTAGCCCCCTGCATTATGTTGCTGTAAGCCTTTCGACTTAGTCAACATAATTCCTTACAGGCTGAACAAGCGTAACCATGGAAATGGCATACATTTCTCGGATGTGACATGTTGGCGTCAAGCCTATGAATTATCACAGATAACATAATTTTGTGGGGAATAAAACATGCCAAAAATGGCCAAGGGAGAAAAGTTGGACAATCAATTACGACGCAGTCAAGAAAGTATCTCGGTTTTGTAATGATGTTCTTTCATAGTCCTCAAACACCGTTTGTTCATGCTTTACTAAAATGTCTTTGCTTTCACACATCATTTGTTCTAAATCCTATAACATTTTACCCCATTTTTTTTTTTTTAACATTATTATTATTTTTCCCAAGCATACCAATGTAGAGTTATGGTATCTTTAAATTGTATCTCAAAGATGACAGAGCCAAGACTGAAATTCTCACTGTTGGGAGCAATTGCAGTGAAAGAAGAGGAGGATATTTTGCTATTCAAGGGCGTTCATCCTCTAAATATTTGGGTGGGAAGCATTCTTACTCCATTTTAGGTAATTATTTATCTGAGTATGTCCACTGTTTATGTTAATTTTTATTTGCGGGTCTGCAGTGAGAGGGCGGCCTGCATTGGAAACTGTTTCTCCAAAGGTTACAAAGGACATTCATCATGTCGGGATTGAGTCAACAAATAGTGTCAAGCAAACAGCACTGAAGAGGAGGAGTGAAAAGTTCAGGCTTTCAAAACACAGTTTGCATTTGCATAAATGAGGCTCTTTCGACAGTGGCATTGCCACAAATAAGAGACTTAACAGTTTCTTCTGGATTTGTGAGTTGTCATTGGTTGCTTGTCATTAGAATTTTTTTTTTGTTTGTTTGTTTGCTCTGCTTTCCTTGTAGACTTTTCAAATCAGCTCAACACACCTCGTCGTCATGCATGCAAATATACAGAATAATTACACTGACACTGTGTGCTGTTTTTAGACTGGAGGGGAAAGAACAAAAAACTCTGTATAAGAAAAAGGAGACCAGATGAGATAAACACCGTCGGTGTTCACAGTAATGGATGTACACTACTGACAATTGGAAAAAAAACATAATGTATTCAAAGGTAGGACAAAATTGGTACCTCAAATTTTCTCTTTGGCTCATGTTTCACTGAAATGTCCTCACAATGTTACATCCCGAGAAGCCAAGAATAAACCAAATGCAGAAGAACAACTAAAAATGGTTAAAACAAACTGTCATTTTGCCCAATCCACTTATGCGATGACAATTTCTGGAGTCTCAAATCGCAAATATTTAAAAATGGGCCTCGGCTTGGAGTTTTTGAAAACAATGACAATATCATTTTTGTCTAAATTCTTCCAACACAACTTGATTAAAATGGAGAGCATATTAAGTGCATGA